TATTTTTTGGAGACCCTGTATAACTCGAGACCAGACGAGACCACTCGAGACGAGATGAGACTTTGGTACTCGAGACCGAGACTAAATCACGGTCTCGTCTCGAGATGTCGAGACGCGACGAGACCAACCCTAAGTCTCGTCTCGCGGCACCACTACAGAGAAATATACGCTTCTGGCTATAGTCATAGTCCTATCTAAATGGGATCTGACAGTCGGAGCATAACACCCCGATGAAAGATTGCCGCAGTGGCACAAGGCTGTTATATGACAATCAAACCGTAACCTGGAATCTACAAGTAGACCCAAAAATTTCGCTGAAAGGCCAGTTTCTATCACCTCGCTGCCAACCGAAACCTCACCCAGTCTCCCTTGAAATTAAGAATATTTGTTTGGGTGAAATTGAAGCTGATCTTATTTGATATACACCAATCCCTAACTGCCCCCAGTTCAACTCCAACAATGTCACGAAGGTTCATGGGGCTCCTGTAGTGCCAGAGAATGGTAGTGTCATCAGCAAATGATGTGAAATAGACCTGAGAAATTGAGTGCAGAAGATCATTAACATAGATGAGGAATAGCAGGGGTCCTAAAACTGACCCCTGCTGAACTCCAGCAATCAAGAGACCCACCGCAGACTGCTCACCCTGAAACTCCACAACCTGCTGGCACCCTGAAATATAGGACCTAAACCAGCGGAAAATTGTGCCTCTAAACCAATAGGTGTTAAGTTTAAACCTCGTGATCAACACTATCGAAGGCTTTTTTTGATGTCGCAGAAGACTGCCGAGGCTGCTTCACCTTCGAACACTGAAATCCAAACTGGGAAGGTGAAAGCAATTGATGATGATTCAAGAAATCCAGCATTCTAGTCTTGAGGGGGCCTTCAATGTTCTTGCTGAGCGTAGGAAGCAAGGAGATTGGTCTGTAGTTTGATAGGGACTCCTTTTCCCTCGCTTTATAGAAAGGTATTACAATTGCCTTTCAAGAAGAGTGGAAAGTTGGCAGGTTCAAAAGAAGTGTTAATAGCACCAGCAAGGGCATTAACAGCAGGAGGGGTTAGGGGAGAACATATCATGATCATGTCCGCTATTTTTTTTTTTTTTTTGTTTTTAAAGTTACGAAAAACAGATACTAATTCCTCAGTAACCACAAGGTCAAAAAGGAAAGACTCTAATATTTGCGGACCTCGAGAAGGCCTACGATACAGTACTCTCGAGAAAACTCAACGAAATTTTGACAAAGGCTAACCTCAGTAAAGAACCCGCAGAGTAGAGTTCGCCTTACGAGTCTAGCACTATCACGTCTGAAGGGCAAGGGGGAATAACGCCAATCATTTCGAGCTTTATGCTCCTTATAAATGTAGGTTTGTAACATAAATAAATATTGAGGTATTTTCTATTGGAAGTCAAATAGGCAATGTTGTAATTTTTTTATCCGCATTCTTTCCATAGTGCTAGACTCATAAGGCGAACTTTATAGTAAAGTAAGAAATTAAGCTTCAGATAGTTTTAAAATTACCAAAGGACTAAATCGAGGTTTCTGTTTATCACCTGCACTGGAGGAGGCCTTGAAGAACTGGAGAAATAAGTGCTCTGGTATGGAGTTAGAAGTGGGAGAAGGGAGAACATTTATCAAAAATATAAATGATATAGAGCGATAGACGACTAGACGAGGGAGAATGGAGAGACCGTAAAAAATGGCGATCGAAATGCGGGATCCAGATGATGACTTATCCAATAAATGGATGATAATTGAAAAAACATAATATATTTGATGCCATCAAATAAAACTTCTTGTTGGCTTAACTCCACACTATTTTCCCGCTTTGTATCTGTTTTAAGGCTTAGAGAAAATCTTAAACTAGCTGAAATGACGGGCAATGTGTCGTCCCATAAAATGCGTAATAAGTGCGGCAATAAAATGGTAAGAAGGATTGTAATAGTGAGAGAAAACTCGAAATAACACGGCTAGAAAATTAATTTTAATTTGTTTGTCTTTCCGTGCTTAATCCCGTTTCTTATACATCAAACGCGTCTTAAGTGGATGAACATTCCAACCGATAGAGGTAATACTGTAATTTTCTTGTTCCGTAATTTGATGTTTACCTAATTTGTGTCTTAATCTCTCAAAAAAGACAAATCAAGAGACAAAAAATAGACAAATACAAAAAGTTCATATCCATACTTTTAAACAGGTCGTGAACTAATTTCGTAAAACTTGTAAATAATTAACGCGCGGATTGTTTCTGTTTTGTTGTCTTGCGTTATTTATAGTATCATAAACCCGGAATCTTTTGACCACATTTAATCACGGTTACCTTTAATTACATAGCTTGGTCGTTTAGCGCGTTTAATGTCTGTAAAGTCCCAGCAACTTAAATTGGCTTCTGCCAAGATTAATATCGGTCGCTTTCAATTTGGGGCTCGGTGCTAGAGAGATAGAAAACAAGAAAAGCGCGTTTGGACCAAAAAAGATTTTCTGTCCATTGCTGTCTTAGGTCCATAATAATTATGTATACAGTTGCATAAAAGCTCAGATTAGTAATATAGTTATTTTCCTAACAAGTGCGCAAAGTGTTACTTTTCCGCACGCGAATACAGTTATACGAACGACGCGAAGCGGAGTTCGGATACGTGTTTGCGTGCGGAAAAGACACTTTGCGCACGTGTTAGGAACAAAATTTTTCCTACGAGCTTCATATCAGGTACGTAATAACAGAAATTTAAACAAAAAACGATAATTTGTTTAATTATTTTTAATTAACTTGAAGGGAACCTATGCATTTATCAAAAAATTACATAACAAAAAACATAAAATCCTCGTCAGAGCTGTTCATCTTAAAGCGTTTAAATTTGATGAGAAAGTTTGTAGATTTTTGCATATAAATAGAGAACAAATCTGACAATGTGTCAAAGTTAATTTATAATTGGTGTTTGTATAGATGTTGGCTGATATAGAAATAGAGGAAAAATTTGTCATCATGTGTCAAAGTCGACAGGTGCACTTATTGTTGCTTGACAATTATAATTACTTTTCGGCACTCAGTGCGGATAAGGCCTGTATCCGCACTGAGTGCGGAAAAGTGTAACTTTGAGCCCGGAAATGCGTGCGGAAAAGTACTACTTTGCGCACGCTCGTAGGAAAAAATTTTATTACAATTATTGTTTGTCAGTTTAGTATTATGGATCAATTTTTCTTCTGATTCTATATTACTTGATTTTCTGTCTTTTTGTTCTTGTATATAATTCCTCATATTGCTGATTATGAAAGACTAGAATTTGCAAATGAATTATTAGAAGTCAGGGTCGATTTTTCCTATCTAAAACAATATGGAACACCTCACCGATCTTTCTAAAATTTGTACAGAAATCTTACATGTAACAACTATTCTCTATGATATTTTGCTGTAGGAAAACTATGTAAGTACTCTTCCTAAGTACCTACCCACAACATAATTTACCTTCCAAAGGTATTTATGCATTCCGAGATTCTTTGATAATTTTTTTAACTTTTGCAATTTTATCCAAAAACTAATCATCTTGTTTCATTTTTTTTCCATTAAATTGACTTGAGCAGATGTCAGGAAGTAACATTCCATAAGGAAAATACCGAATTGCCGCTCCTGAGCAATAAAGCCGAAATTTTATGGAGGAGAATTTTTCAATATATAGTTGAAAATAAACATATTCCGCCAAAAGACTCTAAATTTGGAACCGCCACAACACAAACAGAAAAAAGTCTTGTTTTATAGATCCGTCAAAATCCTCCACAATATTCGTTTTATAAACACCATTAATTTCGTTGAATGTGTCAAGCCATTCTCAAAACATTACGGTAATAATTCAACATCTTTTTAAATATATCTTAGTGGCTTGACGCCTTCTACAGTGACATTTTAGGCCGGATCCTCTTCAAAACCTACAGAAAGTCCATATCCGTATTTCGGCCTGGCTGATGATATTTTAAAAGTTCTTCTCGAACCGGATGCAATAAAGAGCCGATCCCGTGTTTTGACTCTTCGCTTTTCGTTTAGAGCGCCGAACACGCGACGTTTTTAAAAGTTTTAAAGTGCCGAAAGGAGGCTCTAAGTGACCTGTCACCGGCTATTTAGCCTCCTGGAACGTGAACCAGAACTAATGAAATTATTGAAATATCCATGGGCTTTGACAGGGGCTCCGACATTAAACAATTTTAGGATTTTTAAAAAGGATCTTTGCACCATTTTTTGCATTTATGGGCAAACAAAAAATTGAGTTTTGTATTGAAATTTGTATTTCTGGCATGGGTATTTGAAGACTTTGATCGCCTCGACATGGTATTAAAGTCGAGACTAGATTTGTAGGAAGCTCCGTCTCGTCTAAGTATGTAGGTAGGTATTACATACATAGGTACATCTATTCAATTATAATAATTTGTACACTCTAATTTTAATGCGTTTGGCAGATTTTTAGATGTACTATACTATAAGTAAATACTTGTGGAAAGTTTGGCAAGCTTGTCGAAGAGGATTTAAAAATTAAATTAGATTGATGGACTGATCTAGAAAGGGTTGTGATGAAATTTGTATCACAAATATCTAGTTGGTTATTAAATGTTAAATGAAATATCTTTATCATGAAACCAACCCTAGGATAATCAAAACCTCTCAATGTGCATTTAGAAGGGTGCATACATTTCTATCGTCGTGAAAAAAAAGAATAACTAAGTATGCTATCATATTGAATACTAACTGAACATATATTGGATCACCACTCACCTGTTCCTACCTACAAGAAATGCAAAAAGCAAATCTTTTAATACAGTTCCAGCCAATGCAACCTTGTTGTTATAAAACTTTTAAGCAAGCATAAATCAAAAAAAGTTGATCCCTACTTGACACCCAGATGTGAAGCGTATAATGGGATTCCCGTGTACCGTTTCGTATGTCAAAATACCAACGGAAGTTTTGACAAATTCGAGAATTTCTTTGATGTTAAGCGCTTTTGATATTAACAACTTACCATTATGTGGAGAATATTTCGGTTCGCTCAATTGTTGCAGCCTGTCGCACAAGTATTGTGTTGTGGAAGGATTCTGGAACAAAATAATAAATTTGTTCTCATTGGTTTATCTATTTCGGGCAAAACAAAATACGCCAATTTGTCGTCCTCCTAGTTATTTAACACGGAATAATTCATTGGTCACGCTGACGTATGCTGTCAACACTTTCTGGAAGCGTTTCGTGTATCCCACCGATTTCTCTCTGGGTCGTTAATTATTCAGTACGTCATCAGCTCAATTTTCCCTACTGTTTGTGGTAAGGAAATACGGCAATAATTTCTCAGTGAAAATTAAGGATGTTCTACATCGGTTGCGATGAATTAATGTGTTACAATTTTTCAAAATTTTTAGCGCCTAAAAAAAAACTTAAAATCGTTTCAATTTTATGAGATGAAAAGATGGAACAATTTTCAACTGGGCTATTTTCAAATCTTACATTGATTGTCTTAGAATGCAGTTATAGCAAAAAACTACAAAATCTACAAATTTTGTCTCATTTAGAATTACAGATCCAAAGATGGGAACTTGTTAAGGGAGAGAGGACAAGATTTTAACCATTTTATAAATTTTCAACTGGGCTATTTTTCAAGAATTTTGGATTCCAATCTTGTATTGATTGTCTTAGAATGTAGTTATAGTGAAGAACTACAAAATCTGCAATTTTTTTAAATTTAGAATAACATATCTAAGATAGGAACTTGTTAGGGCTGAAAAAACAGGATTTTAATCATTTTTGTTATTATGTAACATAACACTCCAAGCTGGTCACCCTGCTTGTAGTTTTTTACTGTTAACTCTCCTATGGACAATTAATCAATGACTTGACGTTTGTTGAAGTGTGTTGTAACTTTCGCACGTTTGAATAATAGTATATTATATAATAAGTGTGGTAACTAGGTTATTACCGCACGTGAGAGAAATTTGCAAACCGAGCCGGTGAGGCGAGGTTTGCAATCTCTAAGGGCTGCAATAACCTAATTACCATACGCATTACCTATATACAGTATTTTATCTACAAGCGTGCGGTAACTAAGGTATATTACACGATTTTGCGTGCGGTAAGTACCACATTACCGCACGCCGTGCGGTAATATTATTACCGCACGCTCTACCTACATAGGTACGTACCTTTAATTACCTACCAGAGATAAATTGCCTACCTATCACGTAAATTCTACTTGTACACTGTCAAAGGTGACACACAATTTTTTTTTTTTTAAATTTTTTAAACTTCTTTCGGATATTTTGTTACCGCACGCTTTTAGATAAAATACTGTATATAATGCGTATGGTAATTAGGTTATTACCGCCCTTAGAGATTGCAAACCTCGCCTCACCGGCTCGGTTTGCAAATTTCTCTCGCGTGCGGTAATAACCTAGTTACCACACTTATTATATAATATACTATTATCTACAAGCGTGCGGTAACAAAATATCCGAAAGAAGTTTAAAAAATTAAAAAAAAAAAAAAAAAAAAATTGCGTCTGTCACCTTTGACAATGTACAAGTAGAATTTAGGTGATAGGTAGGTAATTTATATCTGGTAGGTAATTAAAGGTATGTACCTATGTAGGTAGAGCGTGCGGTAATAATGTTACCGCACGCCGTGCGGTAATGCGGTACTTACCGCACGCATAATCGTGTAATATACCTTAGTTACCGCACGCTTGTAGATTAAATGAAGGTTATCAACCACTAAACAAAACGAAAATGATTGAAAAAAAATTCTTATTTTTTGCTTTGTAGATAAAAATTTGCACATCACACGTAAGTTTAAATATGACTACAAAACTAATGTGATTAGAACGACTTGGTCTACGACCTCGTCGTTCTAATCTTTCACACTCGTTATTGCAATCATGTTCATAAACGCCCTTGTTATGTAAATAACTATTATCTACAAGCGTTTGGTTATGACGTTTTTACATAACCATTTTTCTAGTATTTGAGTTATGTCATGAGACTCATAACAGAACAGTGGTGTTATGGACCAGGTTATGAATTCATAACACAACTAGTGGTGTTATGGACTAGGTTATGAATTCATAACACAACTATTTTTGGTGATTTGATAAATGTCAAAGCTAAACCTGTAAAGGTAAAATGAAGGTAGACAACGACTAATAAACGAAAATAATTGAAAAAACAATCTCATTTTTCGCTTTGTAGATAAAACGTTGTACATCACACGTGCGTTTAAACATGATTACAAAACTCGTGTGATTATCTTAATCTTTCACAGTTGTTATTGTAATCATGTTTATAAACGCACTTGTAATGTAAATAACTATAGTGAATCTCCGGTGTAGTGTTTGTGCCTTTGAATTTTGTAACTTTCCCGAGTAAATTACACAGTTCCCCGATCCAAAGCAGATAGAGGTTGAACCACCGACTGCCCGCCACAAATTAGCGCCCAACGTGTTGCCTTCGAGAATTGTGAAATGTGATTTCGGTGAGAGTTACAATGAAAGTGTGTTTTTAGACATTGCATCGACACTGTCTCAGTTTGGTTTTGTGTTGATGTACTTTCCGTTGAACACTGTCATTTCAGTTTCATTTCGGAAATATCGCCGCCATACTATACTATATCCTTTTTTTTGCAATAATCAATAATTACGTTTCATTGTTGCCAAACGTCCATACTCACCACTGACGTTAAGTCATTGTTGCCGCCTCTTGTTTTGTAAAACGCAATCCATTGCCAAGTTTCTTTTGACACAACCGCAATATCCATTCTATTTTAAAGTGGATGCCTTTAAGATCTGTAGAGGATTTCAGCCACAATCAAGCACGATGCCACAAAATAATGAAACTGCTCCTCCAGTACAACAGATTGTCATGACACCAGATATGCTTCCAAGATTATTAGCTGGTATACAAAATGTGAATATTGCTACCATAGTTGCTACACAGGCAACTCATATCCAATAAAATGTAAGTACCACAGACCACAGCTAACATTTCTGCATGCAAATCTAGGTTTAGTGGAAATATCGAGGAAGATGTCGATGCGTTCATCGGTGCCATAACTGTTTACAAAGATTGCCTGAATATACCAGACCAGCATGCTCTCAAAGGACTTTCAAATGCTACTGCATAGTGCTGCTTCTACCTGGTGGCAAGCAATAAAGTCCTCGATAAACAGTTTTGATGAAGCTATTCGGTCATTATGCTTATGGTTATTCGAAACCATCTCATCAAATTTACAGAGAGCTGTTTTCAAAAATGCAAGGTGATGAGAAAACGGACATATTTGTTAGTAAAGCTCGCGCTTTATTATCCCATCTAAAAGGTGATTCAGCGGTTTCCGAACATGTACAACTCGACATGGTTTTTAAAACGTACGTGTAAAAGAAAAGGTCTTGCGTGAAATTTTAAAATTTTTTAAACAGCTTGTCGAAGCAGCTCGTATAGTTGAACAGACTATCTCGGACAAGCCGGTTGTTCCTCATAAGTAATTAAGTGACAATCGAAATGACTCTACATGTAAACTAAAGACTCATTCAACTCAGTGCGCGTATTGTAAGAACTATGGACATTCTAAAGACGTTCTGTAGAAAACTAGCTCGTGTTCGTGACGGGGAATCTACTAAAAGTTCGAATGAAAATTCGGGTTAATCCGTTACCGGTACTACAAACTTTTCTAAACTACATTCTGTAATGTGTTATGGTTGCAAAAAACCTGGTTGCGTAAAAAGCAATTGCCCAAATTGCTCACCATCAGACAATTCAACTATGTTTGCCGAATTTCTTAGTTCATATTTTGCTCACTCTGGTTCTTTCATTCGCCCACTTACCTTTGTAACTATTGAAGGTCATCAAGGACTTACGTATCTCGACTCCGGTACTCAATCAAGTATCGCTGATGCCCACTTAAGAGAGATACTGCTAACAGAAAAAGTCCCTTATCATCAGGAAAATTTAAATAATATGACCTTAGCACATGGTAGAACTTCTACAGTAAATTCCTTTTATTTTGATGTGAAAGTTGTCTTGAAAAATAGAAGTCATCATGTTATCATGATTTCTGTCCTTCCAGATCATAAGGAAAGCAGAACACTTCTAGGGGCAGATTTTCTTAAATCAGCAAATATTATTCTGGACGTTCCCAATGATTCATCGTTCCATAGCGATGAACCTGAAATAGGCTACAAGTTTGAGTCGGAACGGGACCAATTAAACCAGTTTACCTTTCAAGAAACCGCAACCAATTCTGATGTCGACATTAGTTGTTCAGTCAATATTAGAGAGGATGAAGGTTTAAACCTTTCGCAAAGGGAAAATCATACATTCAACAAGATGCTTGAGGCAAACCAAGATCTTTTCAATATCAATGTAAAATCGACTCTCTTTGCAGAACATGTTATTGTTATTACCTTGACAGATGACATCCCAATTGCCGTTCCTCCTTATCGCCTGTTTGAGACTAAAAGGATCCAGTTAAAGCAAGAAATTGACAACCTACTTACGGAAGGGGTAATTGAAGAATGTGAATCTTCTTACGCTGCTCCTGTAGTTCTGGTTCCCAAGAAAGATGGTGGGACCAGGCTGACCGTTGATTACCGCCGGCTTAATGCTAAGACGACGCCAGATAGGTATCCGTTGCCGCGGATTGATGACATTCTCCATGCAGCAAAGAAGACACGTTACATGACAACACTAGATCTTAAGTCTGGTGATCGTCAGGTTTCATTTAGATCCTGTGATCGAGACAAGACTGTATTTATCTGCCCGTTTGTAACGATCCGTTACACAAGAATGCCTTTTGGACTGCGTAATGCGCCATCTACCTTCCAGAGGCTAATTGACAGATTTCGCTCAGGCCTTTAAAATATTAATATGTTGGTAGCATATCTTGATGATATAATAATCTTTTCTGATTCCTTTGAATCCCATACTGATCATCTACAACAAGTGTTTGAGCGCTTGATATTATTTATACTTCGCCTAAACCGCAAGACATGCAGATGATCTTTTTCTTCGGTACAGTATTTGGGCACACCGCAAGGTATTGCACCAAATCCTGAGAAGAT